CAAGAATCAGCAAAGCCAGCCAAGCTCTCGGTAGACAAGACTAAAACAGCACAATGTCCGGCTGTCAACAAAAATCAAAGTGCACAAAGCCATGGTGCTCTCCTCCCTCCTCTACGGCTCGGAGACCTGGACACTCTACAGGAAACACATCAACAAATTCGAACAGTTCCACCCAAAGGGCTCTCTGCAGCATAATTGGCATCCGGTGGCAAGACCGCATCACCAACATTTAATTTAGGTCCTCAACCGATTTAGATCACAAAGAATAGAAAGCATGCTTTGTCAAAGCCCGACTGAATGGGTCGGCCATGTCATCCGCATGGATGACCACCGAATGCTCAATCAACTGCTGTAGGGCGAACTTGTAAGTGGAAAAAGAAATCTCGTGAGACCAAAAAAGCGTTTCAAAGCCACGATAAAGGCAAATCTCCAGTTTGCACTGGTTACCCCCCAAAGAACTCGAACGAACTGCAACCGAAAGGAAAGCCTGGCGCAGAGCTGTCCCTCTTGCCTGCAGAAACAGCGATATCAACTAAAGGGAGAAGCTGACTATTAGAGGAGAGAGGGGATCAAAAATATAACCGGACCACCTCAACTACGACATGCCAGTGTTCCCACAGCAACAGACATTGTACATCCAAGATCGGATTGCACAGTCACATGCGCGTCCACAGATGAGCTGCAAGATTTCATCATCTTCGGCAACGAAGGACACAGCGGTCACATAAACTTTTCACCTACAGAGAATCATGTTGTGCTTATTATTTAACATTTAAAGACACAAATTGACACAGACATATTTCAAGATATGTCATTACCTTTTGATTTGTGATTATGTGTCATATGGTCCCACAGTGTTAAGCACCAACTGGTCCCCCTTGATTTCAAAAGTTCACGTAAGTAGCGGTTAATGTCGTCCTCTGCAATGATGCCAGCTGTTTTGTTGTTGTTGATTGATCAAACATACTGACTGCAGCCGTGTTGGACATGTTATCGTTTTACACAGTGCTATTACATTGGGAAAAAAGCACTCGCAGGGGAAAGGGGTGGGGTGGTGGTGGTGGAAAGCAGCCATTTTATATCTGGCCATTTTTCACCAGATGGTCGTTTTATACAGGTGACCGTATTATACAGGTAGTCGTATTATACAGGCGGTCGTATCATAGAAGTTTTTGTCATTGCAAGCACGACTGTATCTCATTTGTCTGTTGGTGTATTATATTCCTCTCACCATGGGTTGGCCTTGGCTTTTCGAGTCGGAAACCGGCCTCCTAAATACTCTAAATTGTGTCGATGGAAGCGTAAAAGCACCTACATAAAAAAGTAAGATCATAAGAGACGAGCGGAAAGGCGAAAATAACGTCACTTCTCAACATTTATAAGGCATTGTGGTTAGTCTACCGGGCTCGTAATCGTGAGGTTGCGGGTTCGGAAATTCGAGCCGCGGGCCCGACGTTGTGTCCTTGGGAAAGACACTTTGCACGACTGTTCCTCACTTCACCCAGGTGGAAATGGGTACCCAGCCATTGACCGCGAAAGACCATGTCAGTATGATAGTGTTTTAGCGCTTATAAAAGACTGCTTGAACTGTATGCTTTCTAGGAAGTTGAGGTTGTTTCAGAATGCTCTCAGGTCTGTTGGGGTAATAGTATAGATTGTGAAGCACATAGAGCTTGCTGTTCAGCTCGGACTTGCGCAATATAAATCTGTCCACTGTTGTTATAAATAATGCTCTCTTCAAAAAAATGAAATCAAAGAAATCGACAGTTTTAAAATTGTTGGCCAATGTTTTCGAATTTTCTGCTTTTTTTTTTTTGCTCAATGAATTTTATCACCTTTGAAAAACATTATATTTTTTGTGCATAAATTACTGGAATATGTTGAGAAAAGGTATAAAAAAATTGCAAATTTGCATCAATTTCCAGAGGCTCTTAAGCTTTAGATATTACACAACTGTTGGCGCCGTTTTCTCGCTAATCTTACCTCTGAAATCGGGCAACCTGCTCCTCCTTTAATTGTAAAAATCTAGACTTCTACTTCTAATCAAGATAGATAGGTAATTTTTTTTTTCAAGGAAAACAAGACAAACGAACATCATTAAGATGATACCAATTACTCAACCCGTCCAAAACTTGACGAGCATCTGATTCCATCCAGTTATGACACATTGCATTCCGCATATCAGTCCAACTGAATTAGGAGTCCTTCAATCGTAATACCTAATTTTACTACCTCAGAATTATAAAGTTCCATCTGACATTTTTTGACTCTTTTGAGTTACTAAGACTAGGAGGACAGAGATCATGATCTGTCTGCTCTTCCAAAATCGTAAAATTATTCGGAGTCGTTATCAGGATATTCAAAGATTTATAGTATACGAACAAAACTTGAAATATTGTGAAACTCAAATTCTTTTATGTCAAAATCTCAAAGCTAGGTACTGAGCAGATAGACATTTGTAGTTCTGAGGTAGCGATTAATTTGTTGGATATAATCAGATATTATGAAAATGTTGGTTTTGAAAAGAAGATCAGATTTGTTAAAATTGTTTCTTATAAATACTAGTTACCTTTGATTCTCTGATAGTTTTAATCAAGATAAGCACATAGACAGCAAGACGCTTATTTAATCTAGTGCTGAAAAAATACAAGAAATACAGATAAAAGTTTACAGAATGAAAGAACCTGATTTGAAATGAGACTTCATAGTGGCGCCCTACAACCACCCACTCAAACAGAAGTGTCAAAGGAAGGGAAACAATTGAGAGGGAGGACCAACCTGTGACACTCTCCAACCACCCGGGGAAAGTGTTGCTTGATATTATCAACCTTGATCATGTGTGTATGTAAAGATTGAACTCTAGGTTGAAACAAGAAAATACACAACCTGGACAGGATGGGGGTTGTTCGTTTTTTTTGTCTTGGTTTGTTTGTTGTTGTTGTTTTTTTGTCTTAATAATAATAATAATAATAATAATAATAATAATAATAATAATAATAATAATAATAATAATAATAATAGTAATAATAATACTGATAGATAACACTTGTATAACGCAAATCCTCACTCACCAGAAAGCTCTATGTGCTTCACAATCTATGCTATTATCCCAGCAGACCTGAGAGCATTCTGAAACAGTCTCAATATTTTGGGACGCATACAGTACAAGCGGACATTCATAAGTGCTCAAATACTAACAAATTGACACAATCTTTCGCTGTCTATGACCAGGTTCCCATTCCAACCTGGGCGAAGTAAGAAAAATATGTGTAAAGTGCCTTTCCCAAGAACACAACGTAGGGTTCCTGGCTCAAATCCCCGAACCCTCAACCTCACGATTACGAATCTAATTGCCTAATCACATGCCACCGACTCCAAAACTGCTTGTTTGTTTTAGCGTACATAGGTGTGGGTTGGTTCAGAAAAAAGTGGCAACGAGGAGTCGGATAGATTATTGTTTATCTAACTATTGTCTCTCTAGCTTCCCCCAAAATATAAAAAAAAACATGTCCGAATTCCATAAGCTGAAAAGTTCAGTTTTGCGTCCACTGATCAAACTAGCTGGGCCCCCTTTCGCTGAAGGGAATAAAAAATTCGTGTCATTGAGGAACAGTATGCACGGCTAGTGAATGGAAGCCTCACTTGTTTACAATGTCGTCTTAGAAGACGGACTTTCCCAAGATTTAATTAGATCTAAACGAAACTAATGAAAAACTGAAAATTAATCTCAGATCTATACGGGTCGCACACTTAAAATAGTGCTCAGTATTGCGCGGCAATGCGCGATAGTATCGAACGGAAGTACGACTTAAAATAGACAAACCTGGCGGATTTTCTCAAATTGCAGAGACAGAAACGTCGGCCTTCAAAACGATCGGCGAAATAAAGAAATTTAGCTTTTTGCAGCAAAACTGTCTCAAAACTGAAAAAAACGAAGGGCGTCATGATCTGAAGAACATTTTAAAGAATCTTTTGGCGAAACCGTATGTCGATTGATGCAGCCATTAAAAAGCCTTTTGAATAGCAAAATCCGGCCACCACAAATAGATAATAGATAATGTCGCAAATATGACACTCTTGTACGCAAATGTTTAAAAATATACACACTTACAGGCACACACACACACAAACAGACAAACAGAGGTTGCTGTAACAGTTACTTTTCCCCACGACCACTAAAATCGACCCACGCGCAGAAGTTCATTTCTCTTTTCTGTTAGTAAATTAAGGCGTTTTACGCCTCCTTCGCACAATTCCTTTAATTAATTCATTCGGAAATATCTTTGCAGACTCATGATGGATGTTTCGATTTACTAAAACAGTCTTTCCGACTCGTGACTAGCACTCATGTCCTCTGTATGTGTAATGTGTTTTATTCAACCTATGTTTTGTATTTGAGTAAAGAGAAGCACGTTGACTCAATATTGGTTATTTAGTGCTGGGGGAAAAGTAAGAAAGACAGACAGACAGAAAGAACAGAGAAGGAAAGTAAAAAAAGTAGGACCTACAAGTGACGCCCTCCAACAACCCGCTTATTCAACCTAAAACCTTTCTTAAAAAGAGCTTTACTAAAAGAGAAACATATAATGACGGTCCTTCTCTTTGCAAATTTATGTTTGATCCAGAAAAGCAACAACCAAAATGAATTACGTTTGTATTTAAGAACCCGACATGACGGTCTGTCAAAAGAATCCAAAACAAAACGAACATAGAAATTATAACGTTAAACTTTGAATATTTAGCAAGAACATGCTATGTTTATCGGTGTATAATACATAATATCCTGTCAAAAGTTTCTGACGACCAACGAAAGCAGAGTTAAGACTGGAATACTTACAAAACAATATCTTTACATAAAACTTTGTATACAAATAATGATAAGAAAAATAACATACTAGATCTAGAATAATAAATAGTTTGTCTAAAAATTACAAATAAAAAACAGTTATTATAACAAAAGTACTAATGCTATCTTAACATTCACAAAGTAGATTCTTTACCTGGGTATGCAGAATATCCGTTCCTGGCTCCCACTGATATATCTCTCTTGGCCAAAAACTCCGTCACAGTATCTGTCTGTCTGTCTGTGAGCGAATCGTTTACTCAGCAAACAGCAACCCCGTTGACGTCGCGAATGTTTTCAAAGTAGGCCTACCTTGTTTACCATTTTGGTGTGGGCTGGAAAGGACGGGTGGAGAAAAATTATTACTACTGTTATCATTATTATTATTATT